AGCTGCCAATGTTCGTCGCGATCGAGTTCATGCCAACCGTGTGACTTAGGGTCTGAACGTGCGACTGCATTAGACTGCTCACCCCGTTTATCCCATTCATCGAGAATTGATTCTGTTGGAGCATCGATTGTTGACCGATCACTGAGCTGCTGAAGCTCATAGCACGCGTCTCGCCATCTTGTGCCAGAGCCGCGACCCCAGCACCTAAAATACCAGGCGCCAACATGGCCGCCTGCATCTGCGTCTGTGGTGGGACTTCCCAGATACCATTTTCTAGCGACTTCTTTGCACCGGTCACTGGCTTGTCTTTGTGAAATTGTCCTACGCACACTACGTCGTTATTGTCATCGTCATTTGTTTCTTTGCGACGTTCTCCCGTAGAATTGCGCTTCGTATCTCTGTCCCTGGATCGCGTGCGGTCCCTAGATCTCGACCTGTCGCGTCTACGACGCCTGTCCCGCCTATCCCGCTCTCTATCCCGCGATCTGCTCCTGTCCCGACGCCTACGGTCCCTACCCCTATCTCTGTCACGCCTATCTCGATCCCTGTCTCGGTCCCGAGACCGTGATCTGTCCCGCGACCGTGACCTATCCCGTCTGTCCTTGCGGTCCTTACTCGATTCACTATCGTTGTCTTTGTCCTTTTCTCTTCTGTCACTCGGAGATCCGGGTTTCGGCACTACCGGCGCCACAGCAACTGGCGCCGTCTGCATGAACGACTGTAGGCTTAGGGTTTGCTGCCTCGCGGCCTCGATCACCTTCTGCATCTCTGTGCGAGAACTCAATAGCAGCTTGATCTTCATTTCCTTGATCTTACCGCCATCGTGCATCATCGCCTGCCGGGCATCCTCGTCGGTACTGCAATTTGCAGAGGAATTAGACATGGGAAACTCGAAATAGCTTAAGTATGGTTTCTGATGCTTGAGTACTATTTGTTTTTCTTTATTTAAAAATTATGTTAGATAAAACGCAAGAACAATGTTTGAAAAGAGTGAGAGATTGTATGTTAGTATTCTATCGGATCTGCAGATTTTTCAAGGATTCCCGGGTCAGATTATTTAGCTATTCGATAGAGGATCTGAGAGAAGACGATTCTCGCCAGAGTTATTCCTGTGCTGGGTGCTAAAAACTTCGACGATGACCCCGCGGTTGCCCTCGCGACTACAAATTACTCCGCGCAGTTGTGATTATGGGAAAATCATGACTTCCAGGAAGCTAACTACCGCGGAACGCTTCGTATGCGGAACAACGTTGAATACAAGACACGATGCTAAGTGCGTGACGGTGGATCCAAGTTCCTGCTTCTGTTTCTTGGCTCACTGTTCAGTTATTGTATCCAAAATCGTTAACTTGCGCGTCATAGTTTAAAACTGAAGGCGTTCGATAAACAAATTTTATTCATTCGGAAAGCTTAGATATTCGAACAACCAAATATCTCATAAATGAATAGCTTCACAGTACAGATACTGATATACCCTAAAATGTAAATAAAATGTTGGAAAGCCCCCAAGACACCACAGCAAATGAAGACTACTCGAATTCTAAGTTTATGTGCTTTTAAAAAATCTTGAAAAATCAATTCCTCTAAAATTTATTATGTTTTCGTTCTACTTTTGCGATTATTAAGTTTGCCTAAAATAATAAAGATGCGCGAGCTCTCCGCGAATGAAATGCGATTCAGCAATACAAACGCGACATCAAAGGAATAACCACTTGTTGCGCCACGATATGGAGCAACGAACCGCGCAGAAGGGATCCGAACGTCTCCCATCCGCGTTTAACGATCGAACATGGGGCAAGAAAATTGCCGGGACGCGCGGTTTCGGAGAAGCGACGCGAAAAGGGGGCGCGATAGTAGTTTTGCGTACGGACCCAGCCGACTATTAGTAGATTCGTTTGATTACCTGAACGCTATGAACGCGTCACCCAGCTCGCCGCCGACGATGTGGACACCTCCTTCTGGTATGCTCAGCCCTCTGAAAAATTGGCGAATGTCCAGCGCATTGGCGGACCATGCCAAGTTTTGTAGTCTGATTATGACGCTCATTGTCGACGATTACTCGACGGGATCTGCAACCGAGCCGAACGATTCGTATTAACACCGGGGATCGAGGAAATCTCCGCTGGTCCAGAGTGTTTTAAAACTTGAGCCGAATTGATTCGGATCGGGGTCCATAAAGAAGAAAAGCCATTTATCGTACTGTTTTCATTTCTTTATTTACTTTAAAATGCATAAATATACTATATTATATTGTTAATTATTATATATTCACGTATATATTATTATATACTATTTCCTTACATACTTATGATTGAACTGGTCGTACGCTAACGACCCTTTTCGGACAATCGTTCAATTTTCCGAATAACAGTGTCTTCCCGAAACTATATACTATTAACACTTATATTATTAGCATCTCCAATTAACTGCTTTACTATTAAGTAAGCCCGCTCTTTTGAACATTCGTTTTCAAATTATACTCATTATTATAGCATTTTATTTCACTTTCTACCAAACATTCATTTTTTCTACCCTTTATATTTGAAACTCCACATCCTCTACACCTGAACGACATATCCATTTTAGTTTCGAGAAACATCCTCTAAAGACGGTGAACCAAACAAACTGCGAATTCTTTTCGATTATATTTTATTGAGCCTTCGAATTAATATTTTATATTATTTATTCACGTCAGACGTTTCTACAATTTCAGCTCTCTATTCAGTTTCTCTCGCGTTGTTCGCGTTTCAAGGACGCCTCCGACGCGTTGGGCGTTTAGCAACTTCCTCCAGAAATAGCGGTAACGAGGCCAGGCTTGTTCTCTGCGCCGTATTTACCACCGCGGCATTGTTTTACCAGTATTTCAGGCTTAGCAACGTTCGCGCGTGGATTTTTATTGCACCGCATACAGATTTCCAGGTCCGACGTGGCCCGAAGCGGTGCACGCCGTCCCAGTTACGAGTAATTCGTACCGGAAACCAAAGGATCGTTCCGACAAAGATGCTTGTCGGCGTAAATCGCGGTAAACGCGACCTCGATCGTGTAATTGTTTCTAGATACTTCGCGATGCGTGTCTGGTCGTCGCTGACGCAACGATATCCCGCAGGACTTTATCCTCAAATCAGCTCTAATGTAAGCAATTAAGAGGGCGGAGCGGTTAGATGGTGGTAATAAGTCGATACGACGGATGAGAAAAAATTCTATTTTTAAGAATTCTCCTTATTCTTAAATCAGCTCTAACGTGAGCAATTAAGAGGGCGAAGCGGTTAGGTGGTGGTGATTAGTCGATACGTCGGATGGACAAGAAAATATTCTATTTTTAAGAATTCTCCTTATCGTCAAATCGGCTCTAATGTGAGCAATTAAAAAGACGAACCGGTTGGATGGTGGTGATTAGTCGATACACGTCGGATGGACGAGTAAAAATTCTATTTGTAAGAATTTTCTTTATCATCTATCGATTAACAATTATCGTTTATTGGTTTAATCGTGATCAATGGCATGTTTAAGATTGTTGCATTTAATGAAATTATTGTTAAAAGAAAGTTTTATGTAATAGCCTCTCACTATTGAAGCCATCAAGTGGTTGAAATTACCAGCTTATTAAATTTCTCGCAGAAATTATAAAAGTAATTTATTTATTATCTAGAGAAATACCTCCATAATTTCAGTAATTGTAAAATAAAAAGTTTGAAACTCTTATGGAACAATTTCAGCTTTCAACGCTATATCGATAATGATCAATAAAACAGCGGCGCATGGGTCCACATTGACTCAATTTTTAAGAAACTTCATTCATTTCCTAACTGCAGTTGACAATCGTTTATATCAGGTATAAAAATTGATCGACGTGTATCAAAGAAACTATATGCGGAAAGATTGATGCTCAAGGGTCTTAGCCGACCCAGACATCACCAGACAGGAACATAATCGTCGAGAACGTCTGGTTTCCAATGATTAATGAGACTACACACGTTTTCGATGTGAATTGTTCCCCTCGAAAACGAGTCGGCCGCCATGATCGATCAAAAATTCATACCGTCAGCAGGTACGGCTAGCTACAGCATGCATAACTATTTATTATTTCAACGCAATCCCCCGAATTCTTCCATTGATCTAACGGCAATAAATCCATGAACTTTATCGCTTAATAAAACAAACGTGCCGACACCAGCACTATAACTTCTCGTCCGTCTATTAAAACCGTCGTAAAATCACGCGGATTTCGTAAATTATTTCGATGAGTCGAAATATGCCGGATCCATTCACGTCGGACAGATTTTAAACGAATCATGGATCTTTGAGCTTCATAGGAAACAAAGAGGCGAAACAGATTTTACACTGAAAAAATTATCGATTCCTCAACCGAATAAAACAATCGATACAAAAAATGTCTTAAACATTGCTATACCTAGATCATTCGAAGCAATAAAAGAGAATTTCCAGGTAACCGTTGACTACACTTCGAAACAAAAGAAACTTCTCATTTACCTAATCCATGAGGTATAAATACATTCATGCAAATTTAATTCCCAAACGCGCTAACCTCAATGCATGGTTAAAAAATTCATAAGCCTATAGTATCAACGATTTCTCATAAAGAAACGAGCGTACCAGTTGTTGCCTCCTACTACCGTAACTACGATTCGTTAAATTTGAGTTATCCTTAGGGTATGTTTATTCGAAACTTTCAATAATTTCACAATCTATCGCAGCGTTTATCTATTCGATAATCGTTCTAATATCGGTATGTCTGTTTTGTGCAGTAATTTCTGAAAAATTCACAAGAATATTCGTTGACTTGAAGAAAAAGACGAATCGAATCGCGTGCGCAGGTCAAAATGAAATTCTTCCACGGAAAGACCGCTCATTATCCGGATGTCTCTTGTGTCAGATCCTCGCGGGGCGAGACTAGCAACTTGTCGCCCGTGTAACCTCGCAGGCTATCTCGCCGAGCGCACAGATCATCGTCCTCCCACGTTGCGACGATCGCTATCAATAAAACCGCCATTGTTAGCCCGCCTCTTCGAATGTAAATCAATCCAATCGCGAGCAGGATTCTGGCCGACGATAACGACGGCCTCCGTTCTTACGAAACGCACGCTCGAATCATGCGACTTCCGCTGTGCGATGGTTCATCATTGATCAACGAATTCGTGGCCGTTAATGAGTATAATTTTATAAAATTCAATACTTCACGGCTGAACTTCGCGACGTTCGCGTTAATTAAATGAAAATGGAAGTCGGTCAGGCTGCTTGAGACTTGAATCCGAAAGAAATTCATTTCGGCAGCGGTCTAACCGAGGGTAAGGTTAAAACTGTCAATGTTTGAGATATCCATTAGAGGAGAAACAGGAAAAAGTATAGTGGTGCGTCAACAATGTCTATTTGGTATTTATTCAGACGCGTATTATTACGTCATCGACTGCGAATGTGTTAAAAGGTTGCGGGACCTTGGATCGATCGAGACGTGCGGTATTTACGCGAGTTTCTTTATGTAATAGGGCTTCCTGCGTGGTTTACAGAAGTGATTCTTCTTTTTTCTGAGGCGAAAATTTATGTTTATTGCGCCTGATTTGCTTGACACGCGGTATTCGCAAATCTGGGGAGTTAGTTTTGAAAGTATCACGTGATATATAGGTAATCATGAAAATATGAGGATTTTATTAAGGTTGATAAAATTGAAAATAATTGTTGCGTTTGGTTACCGGTTGTTTTTTAGTATCTTTAGAGCCAATTAAAAACAAAAGATGAACCATAGATCATACCATAAGAACTTCATTAAAATTAAACGGTTTTTCAGTGATGGTTCATATTGGAATAAAAAAGTATTATAAGAAACAGGTTTAAAATTTTATGTATTCATTTTTTTATACTGTGCACGATGCACTTTGTTCACTTCGCATGAATTTTTATTTGGACTCATTCATGTAATACCTTTAAATTTATAAAGGCAGAAACATTACACGCTTCGTTTTCTATAATAAACTTTGAGCCAATTTAATATCCTAAGAAGTTTTAGATACGATATTAGTAGCCATTATTGCAAAAATAAACAATTTTAAGAGTAAAGACGCTTCATCAAAGTAAAAAAAAAAGAATTTGATGTCGCGAACATAGTGTAACCCCTTTAGAACGAAAGTAAATATGTATTATCGACACGCTGAACACTGATAAACGATAGGATAAAGCGTTCCGAGTGAATTATGATATTCGAGTATTATGAAGTGGACGTTACCTACGAAAGTAATGAATCTTCCCGATACTCGTGAACTAAACGGTTCCAATTAAATATATTCCATCGTATGCGAGGATGTTTAAAGTTCCCAATGCACTTTCACGCAAATTGAGATGAAACTTTTTTGATCCTAATATTATGATACAAATAATAGTATATTAATATTCATAATAATATTAACCGTTTGAGTGCCAAGGAGCGATTTTGCGCTTCTTCTGTGTCGCTCGAACAATGCCAGCGCTCTAGGCTGCGAAGCCGATAACCGCGACACGCTCGGTTTCCGTCAATGCGCGACTTTACGGTTACCATTCCATTTTAGGTAAAAGTAAAAGAATGAAGCAGCTGGTAAAAGAACGAATTTTAATTTCAGTCGAACATTTGGATGCAAATATCATTAATCAGAGAATAAGACAAGCGCTATCGCGCCGCTTGGCACTTTTGGAGAGGGGATAAGACAAACGAAAAAGCGCTCCTTGGCGCCTTTGGACGGGAAAACAGCAAAGACACGTGGAACTTAAACGGTTAATAATAGTATAATAGTAACTTTTGATCCTAATGAATCGAAAACTGAAAATTTAAAAATTCCACATCCTATTTTATAGATCAATAAGTAACGATGCGATTTCACATAGTCATAATCAACAGTCCACCGACAAAAACATTTCGAGACTCGAGAAGGCGGATTATTGCGAACGCCACTCGATCGAAACGTAATTTCCGGTCCCACTGACAAAACCACGACGGCGATATTGCCGGGACGATACGTAAGTCCGTTTTCCTCAGGTTCCAAGCGGTGCGTCCAGGATGTAGCCGGGTGGATCGACACTCCGAAAGGGTTGGGGCGCGCACGTATTATCAGAATTGTATAACAAAATAGAAATTCTTCCTAACGCGACTGTTTATCACCTAGCGAATAAATTAATATTCATTCGAATACCATTCATTTAATCCAATATCACTAGGTTCAATTATCAGCCGTAAGAACGAATGATTCTTTTATATACAAAAACCAATGTAATATTGTAGGCATATTTTTCAAATGATTGATTTTTATAAAATGTGTAGAACGTATATTTAATGCGCGAAAAAATAAAAAATAAGAACTATTTACTATATGCATAGTTGTTCATTAATATCAACCTAAATGCAATAAAAAGGAAAATATCCTATTTAGCTGAACTTTCGCCTAATACATTGTTCTCCTGTTTATTCAGCCTCCTATTTAAATAGAATATTTCCAAATACAAGGATTTACAATCCTCGCGATAAATCATAAATGTTTTTAATAGAGCGTACACGTTCAATTAATCAATTAAGCCTAAAGATCGTTGACTTGTTTTCCATCTCTTAAACCGTGGAAGGATTGTCCAATCTCGGAAACACGGTCTAATTATTTGCACATCTCTCCGTCGAAATAACAAATACCTCTGATTATGTTCTTCCAAAATAAATATTTACAATTCGCATCACTTTGTTAACGACAAGCGCTCTCAGCAACCATCTTTGGACTCGTAGCTATATTTCCTAATTTTCCAAAAGACCGTTTAAGCTTCCAGTAAAATGATAAAAGAAAAATCAAATTAAATAAACAGTATCCAAATTCCTCCCGAAAGCCACGGAACATGAAATATCTTCCTCAGCACTGGTGAAATCGAAGCGAGGCCGAGAGCAAGTACGTTTAGTCGAGGGTTTGGGGTAGCAGCGGAGAGCAAAAAAAGGGTGGCGAGAGGTGACCACCAACAGCACTAGCGCCTAAATTAGAGCTGACCAACTCGAAGCGCGTTTACGATCGAGATCAACCGCTCGTGTCCCCTTTTGAGGAGGCACGGCGGTGATCGTGAAGCCAAGGGACTACTAGGATCGCAGAGTCATCATACATGCTCGAACTAGCGACATCCAAGCAACCAGCTCGTTCGCGAACTATCCAAATTCCTTAAAGTTTCTCTTCTTTCGAAAGGGTTTACTGCCGGCTACGGTGGAGCTCTTTTTCAGCGTCCGCGCGTTCGAATTCCATGTGTATACACACACGCATATATATCGGGGCATCATTGGTTCCAAACGCCTTGACCTTATGGCGCAAGGTCCAGCTTCAGATACACGATTTTTCCGCATCTTTTTCGGATTAACCGAAGCAAAGGGGAGGTGGAGTGGGGATGAAAGGTGGTGGTCGACGCGTTGTTTCCAAAAATTATTCCAAAGATAGCCGGCCGCATTCAGCTCAAGCGCAAAAGAGGCAAGAACAAGAGGACGCGGCGATTGGTTCTGATCGGCAGGCTTTTATGCGGCCGATCCGAACCCGCGGCTGGTCAAACATTCTGGATGACCGAGACGCATTGCACGATAGTCATCTTTCTTTCGCACACGCTCACAGATTCTTTCTCCCGTTCGCTCGCTCACTCTCTCCCTTTGTTTTCCTATACGCAAAACAGTCTTGGGGTTCCAAACTTCTTTTGCACTCACCTTTCTTAACACGTTCACATTCCGCTGACCCACGAATTCGAGTCAATGGTCGGCAGTACGGTTGACCTGAAAGCGTTTCCGAGGCTAACGTTGCGTTGCTTCAGAAAACAAAGACGGAATTGCGCTGATCACGGCTCGTGGTGTCAGTCACGCGAATAATTCGTGCAGTTTCCGCGTGAACGGTGTGTGTTACGAACGGCATGGATCAACACGAGCGCCTCGCTAACTGTCGCCTGTTTCTGGCCGGTCAGCAGCAATTTACCGGGGCAGGTGGATGCTCGAGTGCGAAGCATGGAAAATGTTCGTTGAACCAGCGTGGAGATGGGTCCCCGTTCTCGATTTGTTCGTTGATTTAGAGAGAATTCTTTACGTTCGATTTAAAATTTAGGACTACAGCAGTGCCCGCTTATTTGTCGCTGGTTTGTAACCTTCTTATTGATAGTTTCATTTCTTTTATTCAGCTCTGGCCATTGAGTGAAGGCTAGTGAGAATTGTTAAGGTTTTATGTTTAACAGATTTATGTTGCTACATAATAATGAGGACAAAATGCGACCAGTAAGCGAGCACCACTGCAAATCGATCGCCTGCGTAAGAATTGACCCTGGCCAGTAGGAAGCAACCACGTGATCAATAAGGTGGTTATCATGACAGTTAACGAGGCACTACTGTAGTTATAGATTGCGGATCGTGAACGTGTTAATATTTCAATGTCTAATAGACATTATTGATTCATATTGATTATCAGCCCGGAACTTGTCGTTTTCAAAGATGAGACAAAGAATACACAGGAGTCATGAAATGATCATTAGCTAATTGCGCATTGTATGCATTCAATTATTTTTACGCAATGGAGTCATACATTTAAATGGAATTCGAGACGTTTTTCATGGTATTTTCACGGTAACGACATTAGTTGTTAGACTTGTGTTTTTCTAAAATAATTTTAAAATTGTCAATTCAAATGGAAAACATCCGCAGTCAAGTCGTCAATCTTCTACTGAATTTGTCTTCGAACCGGTGTTTTCAGCGAGACACAGTTGTCGACTACAACAGATTCGATGATTCCCGTGACGAAACGTGCGTATCGTTCCGTGGACCAGCAAAGCAAAAGAAGTTTCGAACGACTGAAAAGCGGTTTCAGAAACCTCCGCTTGCACTGAGCAACTGATAGGGCTGCCACTTCCATTTTCGACTGGAAAACATTTCGTTTCCGCTCCTCTACCTCCGGCAATCGTTAGCAGTATACACTACATTGTTCAAATTCTATGCGACATCCTTTGAGAAGTTGACGAACGACAATTTGGTGGGGAGTTTTAAAGAGTTTCTTAGCGAGCTTGGGCAACCAATTGACTTTTGGTCTAGCTATAATTTAATCATCTTTCCGCTTACAGTGACGCGAACACGTGGACTTGATCCTATCAAAGGGTCCGTTCGGGGCTTTGTTCTTGGTCGATAGAAGTACGTGGCTAGGAAGTATTAAATGATTAGATGGAAACGTGTTATCATATCCACTCCCAGATATAGCGATAGCGGTAACGCTTGGTGTTGCACGATCAATCCGATATGCACCGACAGAGACCGCATAGATGAGTGCGATGGCGGAAGTACGTAACAGGGTGTACACTGTGTAGACAGAAGGTAACTGATAGATTGCAGTTGTCCATATGTACGTTCAATCCATTCGTTTTCCCCGTCGTTCAGCACCAATCTCAACACTTCTTGTAATGTAAGGAAATGGTTATATAAGACATGGTACCGTGTAACGTGACTAGAAACAGGAGCCTGAGTACATTATCTCAGGATAAGTATTTACGCATGCTTTATGTTTTGTCATTTAAAAATTCAAAATAGTATTTAGATATTTTTGTCGGTTTATGATTAATTTGTTTAACTGTTTTAAGATAAGCAGACGAATAGAGTAACTTTCATTTATAGAGATTTATGCGCGAGATTAATGCACCAATGGTTTTTGATGTTTTATACCGTTTTAGTATCGTTAGACTTATCGCATGGAAACGGAAGGAAAAGTAATTGCACTCTGCAAGTTAGTGCACTGTATGCAACAGGAAGAATAGAGCGTTCAGAGAACTTTGTTGAGTTATTCGATGACCACTGTGTCCACGTAGAACATGCAACAGAAAGGCACTCGATTGAGAAGGCGATGACTCCCAGCTCTCAAGGACCTCAAAGAAGAGTTGTGAGACTGCAGATATCTCACTTTAATATTCCTCAGTTCTTTTTTTAAATGCTCTTAACTTGTTTACCCGAACGCCCAACAAAAACCACAGACTACATCTACACTAGCTGGTTTCTTTTAGTTTGTATCTTTTAACTATCTCTTTTTATCAATTTATACTTAATAACAGAATAAGATCAATCAATAATTCGGTTTATTTAATAAATATAAACTAATAACGGATTTTATCTGACTCTGGACTATTATAAATGGCTTTAATATCCTAACAAATGTTCTAATTTATAGAACCAAGTCATTTTTTAAAGACAAGAAGTAGATGGTTTCATAATGGTTTGAACTTTGCAAAATATTTGTATCTTTCAATTGTACAAAGTTCCTTTGACTATAAATAAACTTACCTTCATTTTGTGCATAATAAATGAATCAAATAATCATAGTTGCTGCATTCTAAACGACTTCTAAATGTATGATCATGTTGTATTGTTTACCATAAAATAAAGGTTCAACACAAACAATCAGATTATGGTACATTTTGAAGATATCAAATACATACTTAGAACATAATCTCTTATGTAATCATAAGCAGAATCCATGATTATGATCTTCTACAATAATATTAAATTTTTAATTGATACGTAAAGATTTGAAGGTTTACATGAAGAATGTCATACTTTAAAGTAACTCTTACTTTTTAAATATGAATTCTGATATTCACTACTGTTAAATTTTATGATATGCGTATCTCGCAAAAGTTATTTAGTTTTCACTCGTGTTAAGGTAAGTTTACGTTGTCAGGGTATACTCAAGATTAATACTAGAGAATGAAGAACATAATAGACAATCATGCAAAATATGAAGAATGTTCTTCATTTCTATGTTATATATCATTTCCATTTTCTTTATTATTCCTGTTGGCGCAATTTTATTAATTACTTACCAGTCCCTGATAATGTGAACAGATAATGAAAAAAATGTGATATTTTGCATGAAATGTAAATATGAGACGGTTCTTAGACTTCGATGATCACTTTGGAACATCATTTCAATATAATGAAGAACTAAATCAGCCTGCAGTAAAATCACAACACTTCCCTCCAGAATTATGAGCTAAGTTTTATTACATTACTTATGAAGTATTACCTTCGGCTTTAGACACTCGAGAAATTTCTTCCTTCTTCACCCTCAGTTAAAACGTACGATGAAAGATAAGAAGTTGACGAGAATAAAGACGACCAAGCAGCAAACAGTCCATCAGCAAAGGACAATAAAATGGAGAAGCAGAAAAGGAGTCAACTGCACCATGTCATTGTACAAAAGTCCACTGATGATTGTTGATGCCTGATCTTGACACCTACACACACTGAGTTGCCTAAGATCCTGCAACACACACCATTTTTGCCACACTATACCTAAAACCTCTTATTAACAATAGCAAACTGTAACTATAAAAAAAAACATTAAGCATCAATTTAATTAAAGTTTAATGAAGTATAATTTAATCTAAATCATAGAATTATATTGCTTTGTATGTATGCAGCTTTAAATTTTTGTTCAAC